GCAAAGAAAGCATATCATGAGCATTGAAGAGAACACAAGACACTTTCCTCAAAGGACGGTAGACTGATTCTATGCCATGGCCCCACGGAGAGACACGTTCTCTGCAGGCACGTGTGTGCCACCCTGGTCAGGCTCGGGCATCTGGCGGACAGGAGCCTGGCTTGTTACTGAGATTACCCAGCCCCGCAGCTATGCCCAGCCTGTCCCTTCCTCTGCTGATTTGCATATTACTCAAGCACAGCCCACTTCCCTGAACGCTGATTAATGGGCCGGTCACACCCTGTGCAGGACCCAGTCCCGGTCAGGACACAGCATGGACATGAAGGCCCCCGCTCAGCTCCTGGGCCTCCTGCTGCTCTGGCTCCCAGGTAAGGAAGGAGAACACTGGGAAATTACTCAGCCAGCGTGCCCAGTACTGCCTGGCCCGCCAGCCGCGTCCTCTTATGACATGATTCGTCGTGTGGGTCTTTGTTTCTCTGTGCCCCATCTCAGGAGCCAGCTGCGAAATCCAGATGACCCAGTCTCCATCCTCGCTGTCTGCATCTCCAGGAGACAGAGTCACCATCACCTGCCGGGCGAGTCAGAACGTTAACACGTGGTTAGCCTGGTTTCAGCAGAAACCGGGGAAAGTTCCTAAGCTTCTGATCTATCGTGCATCCACGTTGCAAACTGGGGTCCCCTCGCGGTTCAGCGGCAGTGGGTCTGGGACAGATTTCACCCTCACCATCAGCAGCCTGGAGCCTGAAGACGCTGCCACTTACTACTGCCGGCAGCATAACAGCGGCATCCACAGTGATTTAACGAGAGACAAAAACCTCTATAACCTTCAGTGATTATCTCATTATACCAGGTGCTTCTTTATCAGCAGCTGCTGTGGTGCTCAGCTCAGCATGTCTGTTCTGTTCGGAAATCCTGAGGTTCTGAAAAGCAAGTCCATGACAAGATTTGAACTCTGATCCCTGGCTGTGCCTCAGCCTTCGCTGCACAACCAGGTTCAAACACAATTTCACCACTAAGGGCGTCAGATCCGATTCATATGAACGGACGCCTCCGATGCTCCCGGCCGGTGTGAGAGGACACCCACATCTGCAACAAACAGACACAGGCAGGGAAGAGAGGAAACCAACGTAATTCGCAGATGGAAGGATTGTATGCAGAGAAAATTCCAAATATTTTACAAAGAAGCTACTAGAAATAATAGGAGAAATAGGTCATCATTGGATTCAAATCAACATGCAAAAGTCAGTTTGATTTCTATGCAACTGAAAGAAATGCTTAAAAATTAAACTTAGAAAGCGCATGAGTTCCAAGTGCCTCAAAAGCGTCCAGTATTTAGGAAAAATAACAAAATACACTCAAAGTTCCAGAATATCCTTTAAACACACACACACACACACACACACACACACACACACACACACACAATCTACGTAAATGGAAGGCCGTATTATGCCCAAGGATTGAAAGTCTCCGTATTGTGAATATGTCAATTCTATCTTCCCTTTCTGTCCATGTCTGTGTAGAAGCTGGAACGTTCACCCCTCACAAGTCTCCAGCTCAAGCTAGGGCGCTTCTAGTGCCTATAATCCCACTCCCTAGCGATTATAAATGCTCAATATGCTGTCCCGTGGAAACCAGCCTGGACCTGCTCGTGCACATCCTGCTGTCTCCAGGAGTCCCTTGTAGGGATAATAAACACCCTCTCGACTTCTCTTGGTAGGTGGCATATCGTCAGCCTCAAAAAATGCCTATTAATTGGAAGAGGAGTACTTCCCACCTCCACGGAAAAACCCTAAAACATAAATATTGAAAGAGATAAGGAAAGAAGGAAAGCTCGCAGAGTCGAGCCCCACTTTTCTCTTTTCCGGCAAGAATCTGAGATAAAGGACAGGCCAAGAGGCCTCAGAGCTGAGCAAAGCCTTCAGCCATCTCACACAGCCATAGATAAATATTAATCTCGGGGCACCTGGGTGGCACAGTTGGTTACGTGTCTGACTCTTGATCTTGGTTCAGGTCATGATGTCACAGCCCGTGAGTCGAGCCCCACATCGGGCTCTGCGCTGATGGTGAGGAGACCAGTTGGGATTCTGTCTCTCCTTCTATCCGCCCCTCGCCCACTTGTGCGCACGCTCTCTCTCTCTTTCTCTCCCTGTCTCCAAATAAACTTAAAAAAATTTTTTTTAATTAATCTTCAAGGACTATAAAGAAGGAGGGATTCTGACAAATTTCAAGGACTCCAGTTGGAATCCTGGCAGGCCCACCCCCTAGGAGGAGGGAAGAACCGGGCAATGTATGACCCATGCTGGAGCCCAGACTCGAAGCACAGTGCAATCCTTGACTGGATGAGGGTGACATACCCTAGCATTTCAGGCTGCGAGACTCAAATGTAATCTCTTTCTGGATGAAAAAAATCATTCCAGAGCCGAAAATCGCCACTAAACTGTTTCACGGCCACTATGTGTGTAAATCAACAAAAGGATTAAGTACACACAACACAGTATGGTTTTCAGTCAACAATTCTAAGCCAACAAAATCAAGGAGAGAAAAAAACAGGCAACAGAAACAGACCCCTCCTTTTGCAGATATTAGGTAATAGGATGTAACATGGGTAATGCAGGAGGTGACAAGATTGAGAGTTAGAAAGTCCAAAACTATTATAAGTAACCGTCAAGACGACCCAGCTCAAGGTTCTCCCTTCCTGCACGCATGACAAAGTGCGAAACCTGGTTCTCCCCAGGCCAGGGGTCATGGCTTTGGAGACCTGCAGATCACACTCACATATTTTTTAATGTTGTTCGATTATTGAGAGAGAGAGAGAACACAAGATGGAGAGGGGCAGAGAGGGGGGCGGGAATCCCAAGCTGGCTCTGCACTGCCAGCACAGAGCCCAATGCGGGGCTTGAACTCACGAACCGTGAGATCACGACCTAGCTGAAACCAAGAGTCGGACACTTGACCAACCGGCTGAGCCACCCAGGCGCCCCGAGATTCACGTTTTTAAAAAAATGTTTGTTTATTTGAGAGAAAGTGACAGAAAGAGAGAGCACACGAGAGGGGGAGGGGCAGAGAGAGGGAGAGAGAGAATCCCAAGCAGGCTCCACACTGCCAGCCCAGAGCCTCACGCAGGACTCGAACTCACGGAACTGTTGAGATCATGACCTGTGCAGAAACCAAGAGTTGGACGCTTCACAGACTGAGCCACCCAGGTGCTCCCGGTACATCATTTCTTTCTTTCAGAACTATTTTTTCCTATTTGCATTTCCATGGTAAGTTTCTTCCCTTTCCCAGTTTCCCATGGGTGGCTGTGCTGGATCCGGCTCTATCCCTCTTGTCGGTGGCAGTGGGAGGGCGTGTCTCCATCTCCTACAGGGCCAGTCTCAGTCCCATCCATGGCACCGGTTCCAGCAGAAGCCACACCGATCTCTGGAACCACTGACGCAGAGGGTGTCCACAGGGCCCCCCGGGGGCCCAGCCTAGGTCAGTGCCAGTGGGTCAGGGACAGATTGTGCACGCATAATAGGCAGCATGGAGCGTGGGGACACCACGCACACCTGTGCACACAGAACCCTCACTACGACCCTGCGCAGCGTGACAACCCTAAACACACCCTCCCGCGTGGGGGCGGCGGTTCTGCTCAACCCAACAGCTGCCTCCTCCAGGGATCAGTCAGGGCAGCTGCTCCTCTCAGAGGAAAACCAAGCTGGGGGGGGGAGGTGACAACGGTGGGGGGCCCTCGCAGGAGGGCAGTGAGGCAGAAATATGGGTTTAATAGCTAATAGCTATTATTAGCTATTAATAATAGCTATTATTAGCTATTATTAATAGCTAATAGCTAATAGCACAGGATTCGTGTTAATTTTCAGGTTTGATAAGTAGGCTGTGGTTACGCAAGGTGATACGTTAGGGGAAGCCAGGGCGGGAGTATATAGGAACTCTCTTTTGTGTGAAATTTTGGGTGAGTCTAAATTATCCCGAAGTAAATGATGGCATAGAAATAAGAATAACTCAAAGTCAGGAGAGGGCATAGTCTTACTGAAGAATTCCGCAAGCCCCATTCTGTTTTTCCTTCAGTCTCCGGCTGTAATTCCAGCGGCTGCTGGTGATGCCCGGCTCCCATCATCTGCAGCGTGTTCAATTACTGGAGCAATCTTGAAAAACGTAGAAGGTGATCAAAACCTGCTAGTGCCTACTTCTGAGAATAAAACTCCAAGTGACCAGAGTTCAATGTTTGCTTAGAATTCCATTTCTTTTTGTGGCACCTGGGTGGCTCAGTCGTTTAATCATCCGACTGTTGATTTCAGCTCAGGCCATGGTCTCACGGTTCATGAGATTGAGCCTCGAACTGGGCTCTGCACGGACAGCACGGAGCCTGCTTAGGATTCTCTCTCTCTCTCTCTCTCTTGCTTTCTTCCCCTCCCCTGTTCTCTTTCTCTCTCTCTCAAAAAATAATACACATTAAAATAATTCTTTAAATAAACATGAAAAAAGCTTAAGATTCACCAAATATGTATGGAATTCAGCCTTATTTAGAAGTATAAAGGTGACTGGGAAAGTTCTAGAGAACGACAAAACTGGTCGAGGAAAAGAAGGAAACATTTAACACAAGTTACTATTTTTTTAAATATGTATTTATTTTTGGGGGGGGTGGGTACAGGTGGGGAGGGGCAGAGAGAAGGGGACAGAGGATCTGAAGCAGGTTCTGGGGCTCGAACGCATGAACCTTGAGATCATGACCCGAGCTGAAGTCGGGCGCTCAACCGACTGAGCCACCCAGGTGCCCCAGTGTGTGCCTGTACTCTTTAGGCAGCATCGATTTTATCTCTCAATTTCCCTTCGAACACAGACATGTTATATTACTTTGCTCACGTGGGAGTGCCCCCCCCACCCCCACTGCCTCCTCCCAGCTGCTGTGCCCACAGGAGATTTGCATATCGTTCCCTAAGGGAGGGCTAACGTACACAGTCTCAGATAAAACCTTTGCACCTGACATAAAAGATCAGCTCTAATCTTGCTTTGATTAACCAGGACTCACCAGTTCCGCTTCTCAAAATGAGGTTCCCTGCTCAGCTGCTGGGGCTGCTGATGCTCTGGATCCCAGGTGAGGGCAGAGGGGGGATGAGAAAGGAGAGCGGGGTGTGGAGGGAGAGCTCTGGGGGCGCTACTGCTCCCCACGTGTGTTCTGTCCACGGGTGGGACTGCCCTCCGGCAGGGGAATTTAATTTGGGGGCCTGGGAAATCAAGAAGAAACTGAAAGGAACAAAGAACAGT